AGACTTAAAATTCTAAAAAAAAATATAAATTGCCTCGCCTAACACTCCTTAGTCATTAGTATAATGATGAGCAAACTGACAAACAAACTCATTCCTCGTGATTATCATCAGTGCGTCGGTTGTGTCTCCAGTTGAGTTTTGTGTTTGAGAATTGGGTTTATTGTTGGGTTAAGTGTCCTCCTTAATTTCTGTCACAACATCCAATCTCAACGGAGACTATAGCCCATCAGCACAGTACAGAATTATAGTATCCGAATATATGCACAAGCACAGGTGCACTTTCTATTCCCTCACAATCATCAAATTGCAATCCGACACGATGCGAGAGAGCTTAGGCGCAGGACCAATAATTTACACATAGTTTAATAGCTTCTAATTCTTCGACACACTTTGTCTTTGCACTGATTGGACAGCTGAAACCAGGCCTTTTTCTGACTACGACATTAGTTTAATAATAAAAGCGTACGATTTATTTGCATTAATAACATTTTAAAAGTGATATAGAATTCATAATAAAACAAAAAAAAAGTACACAAGAAAAAGGAGTATAATAAGGCCCATGGTGAAATTTAGTAGGCCTTAATAACCGCCGACTAAGTATTTAAGAAAAACCAAATTAAAGAAAAATTTACCACGATACGTTACTCAAATCTTTAAGTTCAATAAAACATTTATTCATAAAGATAAAGATTACGATTTTAGATAGCTACAAACATACTTACGATTTATTTGGACTGATTTTTATTATTGGTGCAGTGCGGTCGTATCTTATGATAAATAATGCAACTCTGGTGGCAGGACGCGGCGTAGCGCGTCTCTGCGAACTTGTAGAGACATTATCGAGCAATAGGAATCTGTTATTATCTCCTTAAGTCAGTGCGGTTATTTATAAATACGATTTTTGTTACATAGGCCTTATTACCCGCAGGCACCTTATATTGATAATTCTTAACATACAGAATTTCTTTTTTTTCCGCATTTTCTCATAACTTAAGGGTTCATGCAGGTGAATATATTATTATGTACTTAATGAAATTATCATTTATATTTCTGTATAAATAAAGAAATATATTAATCATATGGAGGCAGGAAATATAACATAATAATATGGTAATAAGTAAATAATAAATATATACTCGATGCTTATATCTCACATGCTAACTAGAACTCAAACAACACTTAAAGGCCGGTATTTAGAGACAATATCGAGTTTTAATTTAAATTTCATGAGGGAATAAAACTAATTTTACGTTTAATTTTTTATGAAATCTTTTAGTCCAACGTCACACACAATGTCAAAATTTGAGTCTAGTTCATAGTATACTCCACATATTCTCTGAATACCGGCTAGTGTTGCGAATAGTTCGGAACCTGCGCTACTTAAAATGAAGTTAGCTATCTTGTCTTCTTAGTATGACCTAAAAAGAACTTTGTGTCGTGTAAAAGATTTATTCTTTTTCTCACGTAACATGTGAACTTATGGTGGTCCATTGAGTTGCAGGCCAAAATAGCTGCAAGAAAGTTAGGTGTCTTTTATGTTAACTTGCATTATGTAAAGCTGAAGTCCGGTCGTGCATGGAGTTGGAGTATAGCTGCAATATATGCTGCCATATGGTGACACCATATTATGTATAAAAACAAATCTTACCCGTTACGATCGCAGGTAATAGTAGCCAATCTTTCAGTGATTTCTAAGATACATTTCTGGGATTGTGCGCAGGAATTGCATGACATAATTCCACCATCCGTGCCGTTATCAATGCACCAGACGCTCGGCTAGTCTCCATCCCTCATACGACATATTGCATATACAACATGTAACAAAAACCCCGTGGTTCCCGTTAAGTACCTGATCAGGATCAGTATTCAAACCTATAGAAATAACTTTTTTTTAAAAACTCGATCATTTTTTTTTCATTTTTTTTTATTTAATGTGCTTTTATTACGTCTTATTGACACTAGCCGATGCTAAAGTTAAGTAAAGGGGGTCTTTGACAATCCTCTTACTCCCCAGACAATGCATTTTTAAATAAAATAAAAAAAAAATATTGTTCGAGTTTTAAAATAAGTTATTTCTATACGTTTGAATAATGATCTTGATAACGTACTTAACGGGAACCACAGGGTTTTTGTTACATATTGTATATATTTATAACAATAATTTATTTCGCCGTTCATAACATACGTGAAATAATTTGTCGACATCTGTCTTTTCATCCCATAACAACGACCGTGTCATCAAGAAAGAATACAGCCACGTCGGTGCGCTTTTTTATCTTCGGCTCCATCACCACTTACCATCAGGTTTTTTTTTATAGTATCGGGTGACAAACGAGCACACATTCCACCTGATGGTAAGTGGTTACTGTGACCCATAGACATCTGCATCTATCCTCAATAAAGACTCAAGATGCAGATGTGTTGTCACCCGTGAGGACTAAGATGGAATGCCTCTTTGCCAGTAAAAAGGGTCTCCGGTTCTTTACACTCACCATACGAAACACAGCAGCATTAAGCTGCTATTTTACGCTGGTTTTCTGTGAGAGCGTGGTCCTTCCTTGGTCGAGCCGACCCATTCGTGCTACAACCATAATATAGCTGCAGTATGGCTCTACTACGTTAAAAGGTGGTATAGTAGTCAAATACTGGCTTATTATATTAAACATTGACCAGGTGAAAATTAAAAAGTTGGGAAGCTTTTTCGATAGATATAAAAAAAAACAAGTACAATAAAATTAACTGAAATTTACCGCGTAATGTTCTGTCTAGAAGCATAAACCTGATTGCTCAAGTATACACAATATTCATTTGTTTATCAGCAGCCCATCAAAGCTCATTTTTTTATAGAAGAGGGGGCAAACGAGCATGCGGCTCACCTGATGGTAAGTGACTACCGCCGCCCATGAACAACCGCAACACCAGGGGAATTGCAGATGCGTTGCCGGCCTTTTAGAAAGGTGTAAGCTCTTTTCTTGAAGGTTCCTAAGTCGTATCGGTCCGGAAAAATTGCTGGTGGTAATCGATTCCACAAGGAAGTTGTGCGAGGGAGAACTTCTTCTAAATCGCATAGTGGTGGACCGCTAATCATCCAGATGGTATGGATGGTATCGCGAGTTTTGTCGCGATGTGCGATGGTGAAATTGAGCGGCTGAAATTAGTCCGAACAATTTCTCAGAGCACTCCCCATGATAGATGCGATAAAATACGCAAAGAGATGCAAAATCTCTACGCATTGCCAGTGTATCGAGCCGATCAGAAAGAACTCGGTCGTCGACGATTTGAACCGCTCTGCGCTGGATGCGGTCAAGTGAAAGGGGCTGGCACTGGGGTGCTCCGGCCCAGAGATGAGAACAGTATTCCATGTGGGGCCGAACTTGCGCTCTGTAAAATTGCAAGCGATGTGCCGGCATGAAATACTGTCTCGCTCTGCTGAGCAGGCCAAGCTTTTTAGAGGCCAATTTGGCCTTCCCTTCCAAGTGATCACGAAACTGCACACTATTCGATATGAAGACGCCGATGATTCCGATACTAGCTGAGGAAGCAAGGAAAGTGTCTTGAAACTGAGGAGATACGACAAAGGGGTTCTTTTAAGCGGTAAACGCGCAAACTTGTGTCTTCTGGGGATTGAACAGGACTAGATTTAGTCGCCCCCAGTCTGAGACTTTGTTCAACAAAGTTTCAACTTCAGACACAAGTTTGTTTCGGTACTCGGCGACGTTTTCCCGAGAAATATTAGCACGGCCGGTATATAAGGCATCACTAGTGCTGTCGTCTGCATAGCAATGAATGTTACCAGTTTGCAACATATCATTGATATACAGGAGAAACAGCGTTGATGATAGCACACAGCCTTGTGGAACACCAGCGTTGATAGGCTTGAAATCAGAGCATGCACCGTCTACTACGACCTTTATGCTCCGATCAGCAAAGAAACTGGTGAACCATTTGCACAATTTCTCGAGAATCCCATTTCTGAACTCTCCCATAATAGGTATAGTTTGTTATAATATATAGTAGATATATAAAGTAGATAATACCAACCCTTTTCAGGTTACATTCGCTAAAAGTTAAAATTACAGCCTTTATACGTCCCACTACTGGGCATAGGCCTCCTCTCATTTCTGAGAGTGTTTGGACAAGGAAATGTCCGTCATGCTGCCCCAATGTGTGTTGGCGAATTTCTTCGAAATATATTTTTCTTATTTCTCAGATATGCAGGTTTCCTCACGATGCACGATGATTTCCTTCACCGCCGAACACGTGGTAAATCAGCACTTAAAATTGCAATTAATAATTCCATTGGTGACGGCGGGGCCGTTTTGGGTTGCTCGCGTACTGTGAAATTGTACAGCGAGCGCTTCGCCCTTGAGCTACCATGACTCTCAATTCATATTCATCATGTGACGTGGACTAATATTGGTTCGCAAAGGCATTATCGGAATGGTAAAGTAGATATTATAGTTAGACACCCACTTTCTTACAAGTATGAGTGACAAACGAGCGATGCAAATTGTCACTACTAAGGACAAATGTGAAATTTTTCATTACTACCAATCAGGTTATTCTGCTATTTTACGCTGGTTCTTTTATAGGAGAGGAAGCAAACGAGCATGCGGCTCACCTGATGGTAAGTGACTACTGCCGCCCATGAACAAATACAACACCAGGGGAACCAGGGGAATCGCAGATGCGTTGCCGGCCTTTTGAAGCTGTGCACGTTTGGTTCTTCTTCGATTGAACCGAACTATTCGTAGCGCAGGCAAAACATAACTGCAGTGTGGTTGTACCGCGAAGAAAGCTTATATACCAATCCGAAGGAGCTGTGTTCCCTTGACGATGTTCTCCTGTTCGATTTCCATCGCAGCGACAACTTTCGAATGTAATCCGCTATCTACTTAAATAACTAGAAATAGCCGTTGCAGATTGATCTCCATGTAAACTAAAAGGTAGTTGAATATTTTATTAGTGTAATATAAAACTTCAAAGCATGTCTCTTTCAGGATTCTCTTTACCACCACCCGGTCCACAAGATATCATTTATCGCGCAAGACATGACTGACTCCAGGGCGTTTGGATATATATTTGGTTCTCCGGACATGGGTCACCGATTTTTCGGTATCAAGACAGATAAAGCCGCTAGTCAAGTAAGTGTAAAATTAACACATGAGTGCAAATCAAATTCATGAAACCAAATGCCTTAAATTCCAAAGGGATTAAGAGTAATTAAAATTACCTTAGAACATCGTCTCTACTACCAATAATGACTTATGGATCTAAGATGTCCTCTATTGCTGGCTGTACGAGGAAGCTCAAGATCGCTAAAGGAGATATAGAGAGGGCTACGCTCAGAGTTTCTTAGCGTGATAGACTTCGTAATGAGAACATCCGCAGTAGAACCAGAGTAACCGACATAGCTCAATGGATCAGTAATCAGTAAGCTGAAGTGGCAATGGGCCGGCCTTTTACTTTTAAGAACTGGTAAGGAGTAAGCTTGTAATGGGCTGTAATGTTGATGATGATACCCGTTCAAAATTTAATGATTTCTTATATTTACGCGAACACTACACATTGAATAAAACTACTTAACGAGTCCCCCGTGACTATGGGTTCCGAAACGTCGGGAATCTATACAAATAAATAAAATTGAAGTGTCTGTTTGTAATGTCAAAATAACAGCTTTTTACTAAATGCATATGAAAGTATATACGGTACTAATAACAAATAAACAATTTTAAAAAATTTTGTCTGTGTGTCTGTCTGTTTGTTCCGGCTAATATCTGGACCGGCTGGACCGGTTTTGACGGGACTTTCACTGGCAGATAGCTGATGTTATAAGGAGTAACTTACTTTTATTTTAGAAAAATAATTAGGGTTCAGCGCAAACAAATTAAAACCCATAAAATCGTAGTAAATTCCACGCGAGCGAAGTCGCGGGGGACAGCTAGTTAAAAATTAAAACAATTAAATGCGATAAAATCCGTAAAAGTAGTTTTATTCAACGTTCAAAATTTGATTGGCGCTTTGCATTTTGAGCGCTTGCCGGCGTAATAATAGAATCCGTCATCACTGTTTTGTGCATTGGTAGAGAATTCCTTTAGACATTAAGTCCGCCATTTGTATCTTTTTTTTTGTAACGAAATCCAACAAACATTTTAAATAGATAAAAATAAAATAAGTTCACTAATAGTGTTTTCGAACAGAATGCGGAATTATTGTCTCGTATTAGCTAAGACAAAAGTGAACTTACTAAGTTCGTCGATAGTTTACGAGAATAATGATACTGTGATCTTCTCCCTAACTGGCAAGCAGTTTAGTTTTCTACCGATTTCAAAAAGGAGGAGGTACTCGACTGTATGTTTTTTTGTGTGTTACCTCATAACTTTTTTCTGGATGTGGTCCCATATAAATTGATTAAGGTCTGACAAATTGTTTTTGAGTTATTCTTAATAGTTTATATTGGAGTCGGTTGTACAAAATTTTAGAATAAAGTAATTAATATATACGTTTAACACGACTAGCCAAATCAGTCGTAGTTTCCTAACTTGTATGAAAATATATTTAATATAAGACTTTTTCCTAACTTGTATGAAAATATATTTAATATAAGACTTTTTAATGTCCCTAAACGTCCGTAACATTCCGTAAAAGTTAATACTTACCCTTGGAAGGCAAATTGGCGATTGCAGTATCAGTCATCTCGCATCTTAGTCGCTGCTCCTCGTCGCCGGTCTGGATATGTTACGTCTGGCATAAAGAAATCTCTTTTAACCTAACCATCTGGTTATACCGTTATCTATCGTAAGCTATGATATATTTCTCGGATTTTCTTATAGTCGCCTCATATGACGCGCACAGGTTGAATGACTTATTTTTAGCCGCTACTACTCTGTGGAATTAGAAACGACATAATATACATTTGCAGGTCGTAATAGCAATGAGGGATCTGTTCCAAGTAGTTTTCGAGCTGAAGAAGAAAGAGGTGGAGATGGCCAAGGAGCAGCTCGAAGGCAAATCTGTTACTAACACTCTCGGCAGGCACAACAGTATAGCTAGTGAAACTAAACCTAAGGTATGTTAATGTTCACATGCTCTATTTATCTATTTTCCGAAATGATATAGTTCACCAGAAATGTACGTAAGCTGTTACATGACAAAAAAGAAATTACGATCACCAATTAACATTATTTAATCTGTGCCCCAGTGCCGGAACAACAGCATCTTTACTTTTAAAAAAATTGAAGAAATGCACATTTAACACATTATAATATGTATGGAATCCTCCTCAAGCACTTTTGTTTTGATCTGTCACAATTTTGGCAATTTGTAAAGACATGCTACCAAGCAGTTTTGAATGAGAATTAGAACTTATCGAGGTTACCCGATTTGTTTAATCTAGTCAGTCTTGATCACAGGCACAGTGTAGTCTAGTCGATATTCTATAGGATGTATTTAGTAGAGAGTACGCAGAATTTGTGTGAACCTTTCATCATAGAGCAGTCCGTACCACGCATTTGAATCAAACGGTTTCCTTCGGCTTCGTAAAGCGTATGGAATGGGATCGAATAAATACATTGAAAATGTAGGTTCATAGACAGACACTTTATTTTTCTTTTCATGTTCCATTCTTATTTGTACTTTTAACTTTTTGTCTGCTTATAATATTAAAAAGTTTAGATTTTTGCTAAATTTGATCATGAGTCGATTTTTAGGCACGTTTCACCAATCGTTAAAGTTAAATGGAGTAGTATGCCAACAAAACAAATAACTATGGCGTCACTTTTAACAAAAAATTCAAAATTTAGTCTAGCCTTGTAAATCTAGCAACTCTAGCAAACGTAATCGTGATATAACTCAGCAGTAGGCACATATCTAGTCTCGGTAAATGCTCTAGACATTATTTCTTCAGCGTTAGATTTCTTGATGATATCATAGATTGCCTTGAAAATTTTGAGTACATCGCATCGTTTGACTTACATTGACCGCTGGCAACGGATGTCCCCAATATTAACACGCAAGCGCCAAGCGTTGTACGGTGACGTAAGCGAAATTTTCTTCTCCTAATGTAGTTTCACAGTACCGGCTGTATTGTGACACTCATTTAAAGGAATTTGTTTGTGCGGAACGGAGATATATCGCAATGTAATATTAAACATTGAGTTATTGATGCGTCAATCCATATCGTCTGAGTGCAGAATATGACATATACTCATTTTCTTAATAAGACAGTGTCGCGTGGGTCGTGTAAAGTGTGAACGATGTCTAGAAAGCGGTTGTTGTACTCTCCCAAGTTTTCATTTTTTAATAGAAGTAAGGTGAGATGAAAATATCTTTCAATTTTATCAGCAATTGAATTTCATATATCATTTACTAAAATACTACATCTTACAGTATCTTCATGCTGGTAAACTTTTAGGAGAAGTAGGTAGTTGTTAAAAAAGATTGTATTTACGTACTATTTTTGTATCGACGTAAGTGTTAATTATATCGATACTAGCCGGTACCCGGCGCATTGCTGCCGCAGAAGAAATAATTGTGGAAATATTGTTTCAAATTTGCAACAGATATATTGTTTAATTAGGATAATTAGGAATGATAATATATTTTTTTATAGAAATAGGGTGACAAACGAGCACACAGTCCATATGATAAGTGGTTGCTGTGACCCATAGACATCTACATCTAATATCTATCCTCGTTTGCGACTCAAAATGCAGATGCGTTGTCAGCCTTGAGGACTGAGATGGAATGTCTCTTTTCCAGTAAAAAGGGTCGCCGGTTCTCTACACTCACCATACGGAACACAGCAGGATTAAGCTGCTATTTTACGCTGGTATTCTGTAATAGCGTGGTCCTTCCCCGGTCGAGCCGACCCATGCGTGCTACAACTATACTATAAATATAGCTGCCGCATGGCTCTACCACGTATGAAACATCATTGAAATTGAACGACATTACCTAAACCGATCATATGATTTTTAAATAAATTTGTTGGTACAATACCGGCGTCACCTACTGAAAATTAATTGTACTATGCCATATTATATATAATTGTATCGCACAAATGCAAGCATGCAAGCAAGGGTTATTTTTCAAAGAGTAGCTAAATTTTAAACTTAAGTTCAAATATATAAATATTAATATATCGTTAATGCAGTTTTTGAAAATACGAGTAAATAAGGCTTCTACTTTTATTTGAAATTATCCCAAATTAAAAGTGATTTATGGGCAACAGCGTTTCTGCCTACCAATTGACCCTTCCAAATGTGTGCGTCCGCAGTAAAATCAGTTAAAATAATGCATTACCACGCATTTTGAATTTAAAAGATAAAAAGGACAGAATGTTTGAGATTTTTTTAATTATTTTTTCTTCACCATTCGCCTATATTACTTATTCTGAACCTTCTCTGCAAATTTGGCCGATTATTGAAAATAACCCTGTATAATAAATAGGTCGGCTCGATCGGGGTAGGACCACTGTCTCACAGAATATCAGCGTAAAATAGCTGCTTAATGCTGCTGTGTTTTGTATGATGAGTGTAGAGAATCGGAGACTCTTTTCACTAGAAACGAGGCATTCCATCTCAATCCTCAGAGGTGACAACGCATCTGCATTTTGATTCTTAATTGAGGATCAATGTATCCACAGCATCCACTTACCATCACGTGGACTGTGTACTCATTTGTCACCCTTATTCTATATTAAAAAAAATATGACATGACAAATAAGTTTGCTAGTCAAAAGCGTTCATTTATTTGTAGTATATGCTAATAAACTCTATAATTACACTTTAAAAACTAATGTTATTCCTTGGCTTTGCATTTTATTTCCTTGTCGATTAAATAAATTAGTTAGCAAATGCATAGCTAATGTATTGAATGCGTCGCATATGAAGTCATCAAATTTTTGTTTGTTATTAATTGTACGATTGTGTGAACTGATGTAGTTATGGGTTAGAAGCAACAAAAACATTACCAGATATTGCCAAGCCTTAATAAAATTCTCTTCTGTACTTGATTAGTCTGACTGATATACACGCATAAATAGCTTTATGTCGTTATATTACAAACGATATTATTATAATATTATATTTATAGTTTATTTGGAAATATTATATGTTAAGGTTATTGGAAAAAATCTGATTAGTATATTGAAAGCAATTGAATTACGTAATTCAATCATCAACTGATTATTACAATAATTTACTACCAGAAATTTATTTATTTAATTGTTCTACATACTTTATTCCTATTTTATCTATACAAATAAATAAATTTGAAGTGTCTGTTTGTAATGTCTAAATAACAGTTTTTTTTATTTAATATCTATTGTTTGTTCCGGTTAATCTCCGAAACGGCTGGACGGATCTTGACGGGACTTTCACTGGCAGATAGTTGATGTTATAAGGAGTAACTTAGGCTACTTTCACTTTAGAAAAAGAATTAGGGTTTCGCGCAAAAAAAAAAACATTAAATCCAATCGTAATATAATCCACGCGGGCGAAGTCGCGGGCGACAGCTAGTTTATTTATAAAAGAAGTCTCTATTAATGTTACCGTTACCGTTACAAATAAGTCCACTGCTGAACATAGGCCTCCCTCCCTCATAGATTGCCGCATAGGGGGGATATTTGCCATAGTTGTCACGCTTGGCAAGCAGGTTGGCAACCGCAGTTTTTTTATTTTTTTGTTTTTATTAGGAAGACGCTGCTGCCCATCTCCTGATTTGGTCCCCTCTGTCGCCTCTTACGAAACCCACGGGATAGTATTGGATAGTTGATATTCTTACACCGCCACTTCTATTAATGTGTTAAGATTTAATGATGTTTCACATTATTTAGAATTACACATAATGTAGTTACACACTCACACACGCGCGCGTGTACGCACGCACGCACGCACACACGCAAGCAAGTCTACTTCTGAACATAGGTCTCCTACAAGGAACGCCAGTAAACTATATAGCCATAAAAGGCGTCGCCGGGCTGATGATGATGATGAAAATTATTTAAAGTAATTTTATTATAATAGGAAATATTGTTAAATCTTCAAATTTAAGCTTTAAATGTAACATTCATGTAAAGCTGAACGCACATTTGTCCGCGCCGCACGCGCCGTACGCGCCGTACGCGCCGTATTTTAGTATTCGTTATATGAAATCATATGAAACCTCGCACATTACACCCGCACCGTACGCGCCGAATTTTATAAAATGCGGTAGGTATACGATACCGAAGGATGAATGCTGTTGACGTCATATAGCGCGGTGCGTGCTGAGACTCAGTGTTGTCTAATGTTGCCAACTTAGTGGATTTTCCACTATAACTGACGGTTTCGACTTACATGATAATTTTTGTATTTTATAACTTTTAATTCATTCGTAATTAATTATACATAATTTGATTTTGTTTTGCATTGATTATCAATATGTATACTTAGCGATAAATTATTTAAATACTGAACTAACAAAAGAATTGTTAAATTTAATTCAAAAACCCAATTATACCTGACAACTTAATTATCAATAAAAATAATTACCTCAAACATACAACCAGTCTTTTCTCTGGTTCAATTGGTCTTCTAAATCTTGAGTTTTCCGTAGAAAGATATGGTTTTAGTATATGTAGCAATTCTTGAATTTTCTTGTATGTTAAATGCAAATATCTAAAAAAAATCGTTCATCATCATCTATTAAGTCTTTAAATAAAGTATATCCCCTTCATATTCTCCATACCTCCATGCTCCATGCCTTTTTAAATTAATATTATGAATACAGAATCTTCTTTTTCTTCGAATTTTATTTTCTTCTTCTTCTACCAATAAGCAGGCTATTACTATATTTCTTTCCATAGTGATTTCGAGCGAGCGAAATTTCACTGTATCGTTTCACACCAGTGGTTGGAAAAAACTACAAAATTTGTTGGCAATACAAAAAATTTGCTTACGGCGCGGTCGATGCGTACGAGCAAATGTGCGAGGCCATCAGTAAAATTCGGCGCGTACGGCGCGTGCAGCGCGTGCGGCGCAGACATATGTGCGTTCAGCTTAAAACGATGATAATAAAAAACTAGCGTCCATTCTTGACCTACTGCCTCCAAAGCGACTTTAGATCAATAAAGCATCACGTCTAATGTACTTATCTATTACTCATAGTCGTACGACACAGACAATTGATATGAATAACTAACTTACACTAGAGTCTATCGTCGGTGGGTGAAACCACAGCAGCGACGGCGAAGGGTTCCGAAAGTGGGGCGGAAGGGGGGGTTGCGGAACTCGTTGATCTTGAACAAGAGCTCTGCTCCTTGAGGAGGGGACTCACACAAGTGGAAGGACTGACGCCCTCCACGGATCCCTTTGGCGACTCGTTTTTGGCTCCTTCGCCGGTAAGTCAATACATTACTAAGGTTACAAATAATAATGTTTTGTTTTATTGGCGTTTAATAATCAATCACTACGTTAAGTGACATGATTGTCAGAATTCCACTTAGAGATAGTTTCAAGATTCCATACAGATGTTGGTCAAAGTTTTACTCAAGCTATAAATTGCTGAATGAGCCGTGTTAGCTCAAATAGCCGAGGTAACTCATACAGTACGCGAAAATTGAGCTTGATTCCCGCTGATATTAATGAAATTGTTAATTGCAATTTTAGGTGTAGACGTAACATGTGCTTTGAGGGAAATTAAAATGTCGTGAACCTTAAGGTCTGAGAAATTAGTTATTTCGATGAATTGTGAAGGAGGAACGCGGCGTGCTTTATGACATTCCCAGAAGTGAGAGCTTGAGAAAGAAGAAAGTTATTAATCCCAGTAATGGGACGTATTTACGCTCTAACTTTTATTGACATTTTTCGTTATTGACAACCCTTCTTTCAAAATAGATAAATCAGTTACTCAGCACTATCCGCAGTTACCACTACGCATATTTGGCCCTAGAACATTTTTGTTTTTCTGTTTTCTTCCAAGAATAATTATACGATATTGTCTAAAATGCGATTAAAATGTGAATATGACTGAATCGAGGTCATTCACGTTCCTAGTCTTAGTTAAATCGCATTTGTACATTTAATTGGCACTGCTTTTATCTGTGTACTTATGTAGCCGTAAATATCATGGAAAAAAATTAAATAGGTGCGCATAAATACATTGGCCACACCTTACTTTTCTTATATAATTTGTAGCAAAAATTGTATGACATGCCCAAATTGTTGTAAATTTACAACTTGCCGAATTTTTGCAATAAATTTATTTTTCTGTTACTATCTTTTCAAGAAAATCTATTTATTACAGAAGGGCCTCCTCCCTCCTCCACCGCCGGGCGCGACGAGTCGTGGCCGCAGTACTCCAGCCAGGACAACATTCAGTCCAAACAAGCCTTCCGCGCTGTCTTTCGACTTGAGTGCAGTCGCCGGTGATTTCGAACCCAAACCATCTCCACTACCGCTAGTCGAAAACCTACCTGACCCACCTGTGAGTATTCTCATTCTCATGTTGACTGTATACTGCACTAGTATTTTTAAGATGTTACTTGGTTATGGAATAAATAAATACATTACAGGGTTGATACTTAAATTTTTTACAAATAGGCATCCCTGACGACGAATTTGTTTTCATTTAACTGCAGTCATTTTCTTTCATTTTGACACTGAATTTTAACATAAATATGCCTTTAAAAAACTACCAACTGATATCTAATATTTTATGTTACTGTAAGTGTAACAATCTGGGAGTTTTACTAATTTCTTTGTATCTATTTATTCCTATGAGACTAAAGATATATTCGATCTGGCTGCATGAATATTAGATTATAGGATGAGTTGTCGAAATGTCCGTCCGATGCTTACTATGGCAGTGCACTGTTATGCTGTGGATTGAGTCAAAACTTTGAGGGCCAAATTGTCCGTCTTATTATTTTATTTTTTATTTCACCTTCGATTGGAGTCCTCTGTGCTTTCTGTAGTGATTTTGAATTACTGTCTTGTGCTACATGTTATATGTAAATAATATAAAAAATCTACACACATGTCCTTTCGCCTTTCGCTTATATCCACAAAGCATGTTCCGTCACCCCCCCAATTGCTGAGACCCGGCGAGATTAGAATGTTGTGCGACCTACCCGTTGTTTCTTCCTTCTGTGTTGTAGCACAGCACAAGGACCGTCGAGGATTGTCATGAGAATACCTGTGTTACAGGTGACCCAGCCCGCAACGTCCACGACTTCGTCGATCACTTACGACGTATTCACCGAACTAGACCCTCTCGGCACCGGCCGGAGTAAACCTTACGTTGACAAAAAACTCTTCTTTCAGGAGCTCAAAAATCCGCCAAAGAAAGTACTCAAAGACCTCGTACCGAGCACGCATACGCTCCTATCCGATATAGTGCCGGTGACCACCGAGGCCAAGAGCGACAGTTACGGCCCGACGACCACGATGACGTCACTGACGCGGCACTCTGGCGGCTCGGTTGCCGTCGCAAAGTCATCCCAACCGCCAATGTATACGGGGGGCTTTTTCAATTCAGACCCGTTCGCGGAGACCGATCCGTTCGATAACACAGATCCATTTTCGGACACATTCAAAGAAGATCCGTTCACGGGCATGTCCGAGTTTCCGAAGCCTGGTCTATTGCGAATGGATGATACGAAGCCGAAATTGAGTAAAGGACTTACTTTGGATAAACCTGAGATCAGTCTCGATAGTGGAAAAAACGCTTTCAACGGACCACTTCAAGTTACTCTACCGCCGGAACCAGCACCGAAGTCGCCTAGAATGCAGAGACAGGTATATTAAATACGTTGTTATTTTAGTTTATAACATCATCATCGTCATTATTATCATTTCCGCTTATTATAAGTACACCCCTAGGCCTAGACTATATACAACAAAGTTTGGTCCTAAGCCATCAATACAGCAACTACCTGCACATTGAATGAAAATGAAATACGGTTAATATTATAACTTAGCAACACTATTCTTTGGTATAATAAATTTGCTATCTCATCTGTTCCGAAATGAGTATAGTCAAGACACATATATTCGAAAATCACTAGTACCTCGATGTAATTTCTCGATCATACCATGTCATCATACGCGAAAGTTTCAGTTTTCTAAAATCAGTGCGTATAAAAAGTACATAATGTTTGCTCAAAAGGATACAGGTCGTAGGCGTAGCTACTAAAATTATTACAGACACTTGGTACTGACCCTGCTGGAAACTGCCAACGCATACCATACTATGCTCTATTTATTGATTATAACTTATTTTATTAACTTATATGATTTTGCTAAGCCGAACGTCCATTTTTATTTTATACTACCGCCTCACCTTGGCTTCGCTTCGGTAGGATTTATTAAAGTCGCGTTATTTTTAGATTTAAGATAATCAAAGACAATTTATTTTATCAATCTTTATTTTTGCAAAAAAATTTCTAAGCATTTCACACACAGTGGCGAAGCTAGGGCTCCAAACTAGGGCAAGCCCAAGCTATGGTTTTGTTGTTTTTAGCAGTTTTATAAAAATACGCCAATCATGAGCTGTCTCCATCCTCAGTTTCATATTCAGTGCTGTCGAGGACGAGTTTAACAAAGAACACAGAAGGCATACTACTGCTAGATAAAATTGTATGACATATCAGCAGTTGCATAGCTTCGGTGGCTTTGAAAAAATCCGTTTGGGTTTGCTTGAGCGAAAGAATAAGATATTTATATACAATACAATATATGTACAAAATTAAGAAAAAAAAAACAAATTATTTATATTCTAAATTGAATCTTCTCTCTTTCTTTAGAAAATATTTGATTACGTCTGCGTAAAATGTTGATGAACGTTTTAATTATACCAATAACTGTTTATGTGAATATGAGCTGTTTTTTCTGAACAAAGTTTAAAGATTTTACCTTTCCCTCGCCGATTTTTTGGTTTAACGCCGATTTGACGGCTCCGTGGCGTAGGGGCTTAGCAATGACTTGCAACGCTTAGAGCCGCCGCGGGTTCGAATCCCGCACGGAACAAGTATTTGTATGGCCTACAAATAATTGTTCCGGGTCTGGATGTTCGTCCTTGTACAATATATGTTACTGCCTCCACGATACAGGAGAAAATCCTAGTGTGGGGGTAACGTATTTTTTTTTAAAAAATTAAAAAAAATAGATTAGCACTTTAACACACTTCAATTCATCACAAGAATCACTATTATCCTCCATTTTCCACGAAATGCGAAGTGAAGTTACAAACGTAATAACGTAACGCTCGCGCACCCCCGCCCTCGACTGACTTCATAACTAAAGCCAGACTTATCGCTCCATACTAATTGCTAAATAAACAATCGTAGTTATATTTCATTATAGAACATTTTGCTACAGGTTAGAAAGCGAGAGCGAGCCCGGGAAAAAGCCCACGCGTGCGAGAGAGACGACTAATCGCTCAAACCAACTCCTTTTTTATGACAGCAGTATGGCGCAGTTTTGCCGCGACGATTAATTTTACAGTCCATTGCGTGGAGGAGCGCGCGGGAAATTTGAAATAATTTGAAACAGTTTATGAGTTATTTTATTAGTTGATATTATTGATTAAGCAGTTTGATATGGCAAGCCCGGCTTCTCGACTTCTATGGAGGCTTCGCTACCGCCTAGATTACTAAGTTCGTGAAGTTTAATAAGCTCGGCTCAACTCAGCTCAGCTCCATATAAAGCAGTTATTTCGATACTATAGACAGACACTTTATGATATTTTTTTGAACGCAGTTCGCTATCGGACGGTACGAAATCGGCGGATGGGGGCTAGGCGAGAAAATGTGTAAGATTTTTCCGTCAGGACCCCTTCTGACGTTGTGCCTTGGCGGCTATAAGGAAGAGAGGTGAAATAATATCCATCTCCCTCGCACTATTTCTTATCTTGCCATGAAAGAAACATTATTTTATTTTAAATGACGCTTCATTTTAGTGGACGTCATTTATTTGTATTTGTTAATCAATAATATAATACGTTTATCAATAATAATATACTACGAAAGAAACTTCGTACCATCCGAATGTTTCATGACACATACGCATGTTTTATTAATTATAGATCGTTTTTTTTATAAATCGTAGTATTTATGCCATCTAATTGTACTCTGTGGCGTACTTCGGCAATAAATGGTTTTTTCCTTTTTGTTCTTTATACAATTTTACCAGGATTACTCGATACAGTAATAAAACTAATTTTACGAATTTTATCGCGGGTAATTAACTTTTTTTTAATTTCCGACCGTCTACTTACTTGTTTTTTGTAATACTACTGAATTAATTTAAAATTAATTAAAATTGGCTTATAGTCGATATAATTTATTCGCGAGATATACGAAACGAAAAGTTTTCACTAACGTTCGACATATTTTAAAGTACACCTAGACTTTAGGGACGTTATAACAAGTGATATATAAAAATTTGGACATTCAAAAACTTATTGCCCACAGCTTCCAAATACAAGTTATAATATACCCCTCGTCTGATATCTAGAGATATCGATAACACACTATAACAAAATTTAAATTCATATACAGATGACGGATACGAGCACAATACGGCAGCGTCCGCAGCCTAGTTCAAAGTTGAATGCGGAAAGAATTTCTCCACCCCCCTTGCCGCCGAAGAATTTTGCAGAGATTTACTTATCACGTCCCTCATCTCGCCCTACATATGACCTCGAGCATGAGAGCGAGGAAACTTCAGAATCCGGCCCTCCTCTACCGCGGCCTGCAAGGAAAAGAGAACCGTTGGTATGTGGTCTAAGGTGTTTTTTCACTTGCTAAATTGTGGACGAACTGAGAACGCATTCATGTTCAAAAACTAGCTCGCCTCCCTCGGCATGAATCTCGGTGGGAATTGTATCATTACCTATTGTCATATGGACTTGAACAAAATTATATTTTGTTACTTAAGTGGGTACTGCAGCCCATTTTGCAGTACATTTTGATTCTTTATCCTCGATAAAGAATCAAAATGTATATAATAATTGTAGATGTCTATGGGCTACAGTATCCACTTATCATCGGGTGGGCTGTATATGCTTATTTGTTTAGTTTATAAAACGTTTATAAAGTTGTTTGACGGAGTGTCGTGGTGGCGGTTGCAGGCGGAGCGCAGCGTCAAGCCGCGGCAGTCGTCGGGCGCTGTGAGCGGCAGCAGCAGCGGGGACGAGTACCTGACGCCGGCGCCGCCGCCGCTGCCCGCCGCGCGCCGCTTCGACATCACGCTCAGCCAGCTGCTCACCTGCACCATGGACGAGCTGGCCGCCAGGTACCGCCCACCCCGCGCCGCTTCGACATCACGCTCAGCCAGCTGCTCACCTGCACCATGGACGAGCTGGCCGCCAGGTACCGCCCACCCCGCGCCGCTTCGACATCACGCTCAGCCAGCTGCTCACCTGCACCATGGACGAGCTGGCCGCCAGGTACCGCCCACCCCGCGCCGCTTCGACATCACGCTCAGCCAGCTGCTCACCTGCACCATGGACGAGCTGGCCGCCAGGTACCGCCCACCCCGCGCCGCTTCGACATCACGCTCAGCCAGCTGCTCACCTGCACCATGGACGAGCTGGCCGCCAGGTACCGCCCACCCCGCGCCGCTTCGACATCACGCTCAGCCAGCTGCTCACCTGCACCATGGACGAGCTGGCCGCCAGGTACCGCCCACCCCGCGCCGCTTCGACATCACGCTCAGCCAGCTGCTCACCTGCACCATGGACGAGCTGGCCGCCAGGTACCGCCCACCCCGCGCCGCTTCGACATCACGCTCAGCCAGCTGCTCACCTGCACCATGGACGAGCTGGCCGCCAGGTACCGCCCACCCCGCGCCGCTTCGACATCACGCTCAGCCAGCTGCTCACCTGCACCATGGACGAGCTGGCCGCCAGGTACCGCCCACCCCGCGCCGCTTCGACATCACGCTCAGCCAGCTGCTCACCTGCACCATGGACGAGCTGGCCGCCAGGTACCGCCCACCCCGCGCCGCTTCGACATCACGCTCAGCCAGCTGCTCACCTGCACCATGGACGAGCTGGCCGCCAGGTACCGCCCACCCCGCGCCGCTTCGACATCACGCTCAGCCAGCTGCTCACCTGCACCATGGACGAGCTGGCCGCCAGGTACCGCCCACCCCGCGCCGCTTCGACATCACGCTCAGCCAGCTGCTCACCTGCACCATGGACGAGCTGGCCGCCAGGTACCGCCCACCCCGCGCCGCTTCGACATCACGCTCAGCCAGCTGCTCACCTGCACCATGGACGAGCTGGCCGCCAGGTACCGCCCACCCCGCGCCGCTTCGACATCACGCTCAGCCAGCTGCTCACCTGCACCATGGACGAGCTGGCCGCCAGGTACCGCCCACCCCGCGCCGCTTCGACATCACGCTCAGCCAGCTGCTCACCTGCACCATGGACGAGCTGGCCGCCAGGTACCGCCCACCCCGCGCCGCTTCGACATCACGCTCAGCCAGCTGCTCACCTGCACCATGGACGAGCTGGCCGCCAGGTACCGCCCACCCCGCGCCGCTTCGACATCACGCTCAGCCAGCTGCTCACCTGCACCATGGACGAGCTGGCCGCCAGGTACCGCCCACCCCGCGCCGCTTCGACATCACGCTCAGCCAGCTGCTCACCTGCACCATGGACGAGCTGGCCGCCAGGTACCGCCCACCCCGCGCCGCTTCGACATCACGCTCAGCCAGCTGCTCACCTGCACCATGGACGAGCTGGCCGCCAGGTACCGCCCACCCCGCGCCGCTTCGACATCACGCTCAGCCAGCTGCTCACCTGCACCATGGACGAGCTGGCCGCCAGGTACCGCCCACCCCGCGCCGCTTCGACATCACGCTCAGCCAGCTGCTCACCTGCACCATGGACGAGCTGGCCGCCAGGTACCGCCCACCCCGCGCCGCTTCGACATCACGCTCAGCCAGCTGCTCACCTGCACCATGGACGAGCTGGCCGCCAGGTACCGCCCACCCCGCGCCGCTTCGACATCACGCTCAGCCAGCTGCTCACCTGCACCATGGACGAGCTGGCCGCCAGGTACCGCCCACCCCGCGCCGCTTCGACATCACGCTCAGCCAGCTGCTCACCTGCACCATGGACGAGCTGGCCGCCAGGTACCGCCCACCCCGCGCCGCTTCGACATCACGCTCAGCCAGCTGCTCACCTGCACCATGGACGAGCTGGCCGCCAGGTACCGCCCACCCCGCGCCGCTTCGACATCACGCTCAGCCAGCTGCTCACCTGCACCATGGACGAGCTGGCCGCCAGGTACCGCCCACCCCGCGCCGCTTCGACATCACGCTCAGCCAGCTGCTCACCTGCACCATGGACGAGCTGGCCGCCAGGTACCGCCCACCCCGCGCCGCTTCGACATCACGCTCAGCCAGCTGCTCACCTGCACCATGGACGAGCTGGCCGCCAGGTACCGCCCACCCCGCGCCGCTTCGACATCACGCTCAGCCAGCTGCTCACCTGCACCATGGACGAGCTGGCCGCCAGGTACCGCCCACCCCGCGCCGCTTCGACATCACGCTCAGCCAGCTGCTCACCTGCACCATGGACGAGCTGGCCGCCAGGTACCGCCCACCCCGCGCCGCTTCGACATCACGCTCAGCCAGCTGCTCACCTGCACCATGGACGAGCTGGCCGCCAGGTACCGCCCACCCCGCGCCGCTTCGACATCACGCTCAGCCAGCTGCTCACCTGCACCATGGACGAGCTGGCCGCCAGGTACCGCCCACCCCGCGCCGCTTCGACATCACGCTCAGCCAGCTGCTCACCTGCACCATGGACGAGCTGGCCGCCAGGTACCGCCCACCCCGCGCCGCTTCGACATCACGCTCAGCCAGCTGCTCACCTGCACCATGGACGAGCTGGCCGCCAGGTACCGCCCACCCCGCGCCGCTTCGACATCACGCTCAGCCAGCTGCTCACCTGCACCATGGACGAGCTGGCCGCCAGGTACCGCCCACCCCGCGCCGCTTCGACATCACGCTCAGCCAGCTGCTCACCTGCACCATGGACGAGCTGGCCGCCAGGTACCGCCCACCCCGCGCCGCTTCGACATCACGCTCAGCCAGCTGCTCACCTGCACCATGGACGAGCTGGCCGCCAGGTACCGCCCACCCCGCGCCGCTTCGACATCACGCTCAGCCAGCTGCTCACCTGCACCATGGACGAGCTGGCCGCCAGGTACCGCCCACCCCGCGCCGCTTCGACATCACGCTCAGCCAGCTGCTCACCTGCACCATGGACGAGCTGGCCGCCAGGTACCGCCCACCCCGCGCCGCTTCGACATCACGCTCAGCCAGCTGCTCACCTGCACCATGGACGAGCTGGCCGCCAGGTACCGCCCACCCCGCGCCGCTTCGACATCACGCTCAGCCAGCTGCTCACCTGCACCATGGACGAGCTGGCCGCCAGGTACCGCCCACCCCGCGCCGCTTCGACATCACGCTCAGCCAGCTGCTCACCTGCATCATGGACGAGCTGGCCGCCAGGTACCGCCCACCCCGCGCCGCTTCGACATCACGCTCAGCCAGCTGCTCACCTGCACCATGGACGAGCTGGCCGCCAGGTACCGCCCACCCCGCGCCGCTTCGACATCACGCTCAGCCAGCTGCTCACCTGCACCATGGACGAGCTGGCCGCCAGGTACCGCCCACCCCGCGCCGCTTCGACATCACGCTCAGCCAGCTGCTCACCTGCACCATGGACGAGCTGGCCGCCAGGTACCGCCCACCCCGCGCCGCTTCGACATCACGCTCAGCCAGCTGCTCACCTGCATCATGGACGAGCTGGCCGCCAGGTACCGCCCACCCCGCGCCGCTTCGACATCACGCTCAGCCAGCTGCTCACCTGCACCATGGACGAGCTGGCCGCCAGGTACCGCCCACCCCGCGCCTCTTCGACATCACGCTCAGCCAGCTGCTCACCTGCACCATGGACGAGCTGGCCGCCAGGTACCGCCCACCCCGCGCCGCTTCGACATCACGCTCAGCCAGCTGCTCACCTGCACCATGGACGAGCTGGCCGCCAGGTACCGCCCACCCCGCGCCGCTTCGACATCACGCTCAGCCAGCTGCTCACCTGCACCATGGATGAGCTGGCCTCCAGGTACCGCCCACCCCGCGCCGCTTCGACATCACGCTCAGCCAGCTGCTCACCTGCACCATGGACGAGCTGGCCGCCAGGTACCGCCCACCCCGCGCCGCTTCGACATCACGCTCAGCCAGCTGCTCACCTGCACCATGGACGAGCTGGCCGCCAGGTACCGCCCACCCCGCGCCGCTTCGACATCACGCTCAGCCAGCTGCTCACCTGCATCATGGACGAGCTGGCCGCCAGGTACCGCCCACCCCGCGCCGCTTCGACATCACGCTCAGCCAGCTGCTCACCTGCACCATGGACGAGCTGGCCGCCAGGTACCGCCCACCCCGCGCCTCTTCGACATCACGCTCAGCCAGCTGCTCACCTGCACCATGGACGAGCTGGCCGCCAGGTACCGCCCACCCCGCGCCGCTTCGACATCACGCTCAGCCAGCTGCTCACCTGCACCATGGACGAGCTGGCCGCCAGGTACCGCCCACCCCGCGCCTCTTCGACATCACGCTCAGCCAGCTGCTCACCTGCACCATGGACGAGCTGGCCGCCAGGTACCGCCCACCCCGCGCCGCTTCGACATCACGCTCAGCCAGCTGCTCACCTGCACCATGGACGAGCTGGCTGCCAGGTACCGCCCACCCCGCGCCGCTTCGACATCACGCTCAGCCAGCTGCTCACCTGCACCATGGACGAGCTGGCTGCCAGGTACCGCCCACCCCGCGCCGCTTCGACATCACGCTCAGCCAGCTGCTCACCTGCACCATGGACGAGCTGGCCGCCAGGTACTGCCCACCCCGCGCCGCTTCGACATCACGCTCAGCCAGCTGCTCACCTGCACCATGGACGAGCTGGCCGCCAGGTACCGCCCACCCCGCGCCGCTTCGACATCACGCTCAGCCAGCTGCTCACCTGCATCATGGACGAGCTGGCCGCCAGGTACCGCCCACCCCGCGCCGCTTCGACATCACGCTCAGCCAGCTGCTCACCTGCACCATGGACGAGCTGGCCGCCAGGTACCGCCCACCCCGCGCCGCTTCGACATCACGCTCAGCCAGCTGCTCACCTGCACCATGGACGAGCTGGCCGCCAGGTACCGCCCACCCCGCGCCGCTTCGACATCACGCTCAGCCAGCTGCTCACCTGCACCATGGACGAGCTGGCCGCCAGGTACCGCCCACCCCGCGCCGCTTCGACATCACGCTCAGCCAGCTGCTCACCTGCACCATGGACGAGCTGGCCGCCAGGTACCGCCCACCCCGCGCCGCTTCGACATCACGCTCAGCCAGCTGCTCACCTGCACCATGGACGAGCTGGCCGCCAGGTACCGCCCACCCCGCGCCTCTTCGACATCACGCTCAGCCAGCTGCTCACCTGCACCATGGACGAGCTGGCCGCCAGGTACCGCCCACCCCGCGCCGCTTCGACATCACGCTCAGCCAGCTGCTCACCTGCACCATGGACGAGCTGGCTGCCAGGTACCGCCCACCCCGCGCCGCTTCGACATCACGCTCAGCCAGCTGCTCACCTGCACCATGGACGAGCTGGCTGCCAGGTACCGCCCACCCCGCGCCGCTTCGACATCACGCTCAGCCAGCTGCTCACCTGCACCATGGACGAGCTGGCCGCCAGGTACTGCCCACCCCGCGCCGCTTCGACATCACGCTCAGCCAGCTGCTCACCTGCACCATGGACGAGCTGGCCGCCAGGTACCGCCCACCCCGCGCCGCTTCGACATCACGCTCAGCCAGCTGCTCACCTGCATCATGGACGAGCTGGCCGCCAGGTACCGCCCACCCCGCGCCGCTTCGACATCACGCTCAGCCAGCTGCTCACCTGCACCATGGACGAGCTGGCCGCCAGGTACCGCCCACCCCGCGCCTCTTCGACATCACGCTCAGCCAGCTGCTCACCTGCACCATGGACGAGCTGGCCGCCAGGTACCGCCCATCCCGCGCCGCTTCGACATCACGCTCAGCCAGCTGCTCACCTGCACCATGGACGAGCTGGCCGCCAGGTACCGCCCACCCCGCGCCGCTTCGACATCACGCTCAGCCAGCTGCTCACCTGCACCATGGACGAGCTGGCCGCCAGGTACCGCCCACCCCGCGCCGCTTCGACATCACGCTCAGCCAGCTGCTCACCTGCACCATGGACGAGCTGGCCGCCAGGTACCGCCCACCCCGCGCCGCTTCGACATCACGCTCAGCCAGCTGCTCACCTGCACCATGGACGAGCTGGCCGCCAGGTACCGCCCACCCCGCGCCGCTTCGACATCACGCTCAGCCAGCTGCTCACCTGCATCATGGACGAGCTGGCCGCCAGGTACCTTCCACCCCGCGCCGCTTCGACATCACGCTCAGCCAGCTGCTCACCTGCACCATGGACGAGCTGGCCGCCAGGTACCGCCCACCCCGCGCCTCTTCGACATCACGCTCAGCCAGCTGCTCACCTGCACCATGGACGAGCTGGCCGCCAGGTACCGCCCACCCCGCGCCGCTTCGACATCACGCTCAGCCAGCTGCTCACCTGCACCATGGACGAGCTGGCCGCCAGGTACCGCCCACCCCGCGCCGCTTCGACATCACGCTCAGCCAGCTGCTCACCTGCACCATGGACGAGCTGGCCGCCAGGTACCGCCCACCCCGCGCCGCTTCGACATCACGCTCAGCCAGCTGCTCACCTGCACCATGGACGAGCTGGCCGCCAGGTACCGCCCACCCCGCGCCGCTTCGACATCACGCTCAGCCAGCTGCTCACCTGCACCATGGACGAGCTGGCCGCCAGGTACCGCCCACCCCGCGCCGCTTCGACATCACGCTCAGCCAGCTGCTCACCTGCACCATGGACGAGCTGGCCGCCAGGTACCGCCCACCCCACGCCGCTTCGACATCACGCTCAGCCAGCTGCTCACCTGCACCATCGACGAGGGTTCGTTTCTTTTAATATAAATGAGAAACCAGGTAAAGTCCGCGCGTTCCGTCTTGGATTGTCTAAAGTTGACTTTTTTGACATTAGCGCACTAACGAGTTATCTAAACGATAGAGATGTGCCACTTCATATTCACTCCTAAGATTGCTTAGGGAAACAGTTTGTGTTGTCTATATGGATTATGGAATTAATTTAAAATTATTATTATTTTTCAAAATATCTTTATGTATTTCATAAAACTTAAGAGCCGTGGTAGCTCAGGGGCCAAGCGCTCGCTGTAAATTTCTCAGTATACGAGCAACCCTGGGTCGATCCTCGCCGGCACCAAACAATTTCTTAAATGCAATTTTAACTGCTGATGTACCACGTGGTTGACGGTGAAGGAAAACATCGGGAAGCAACCTGCATGTCTGAGAAATAAAAAGAAAATGTTTCGAAGACTTGAAGTTTGCCAACACGCATTGAGGCAGCGCGGCGGATATTTCCTTGCCCAAAATCCAAGGAAGAATTTGGTGCTTTTAGTATCGAATGTCGCACCTTTGACATTGCTGCAGTCTGGGTATATTAACATCTGTCATGAACGAGATAGTATTTCGCCATCTATCACCTTTCTAACTTTTCCCATTATCGCCTCATGTGACACCTAAGAGACGAAATGTAGAAACGGATTTCTTTCAGCAGCCATTAAACATTTTATTAAAAATTAACTTACAACAAAGTCTGCAAAGCATCAATTACTGGCGTTTTTAGTTAAAAACTTGCTGAGTATAGCACTTTTTATAATATTACAATGACAACCGAGCTGACAGTATACCTAGTGGTAAATAGCTAGTGCAGCACTGGGATACCTACAACTAACTTCAAACAACGATGGACAGAAATGCGTTATCACTTCAGGAGGACTAAGGCCGGTTAAATATTTGTCTGTCGTGTTGTGTCCAGCCATTATACCTAGCTTTCACATCTATAAGTCGTGTTCTGACGGTCTCTGACGATATTTTGAATCAATACAGTCTTAGCTTTCGTAGAGTTCATACGTTCCCAATGTTTTTCCATGAATCATCCGACTCTAATTCAGATTATGAAGAACATATTAAATTTTTAGTGCTGGCAACTCATCTAAACAAAAATCCTATCGGGTCAACAATACTTTAAATTAAAAAAAAAAGTACCTATATTTTATATCGAGACAAAGATACATGCGGTTCTGAGTCGTCACAACACAACACTAGCGCGTACACACTTGTCTGATTTGATGTGTATTCAGGCGGCCGCTCTCCCGCTCCCCCCCACCTTCACCACTCTGATGCGTCGCATCAGAAGCCATCACAACACATCAGGACACACAAATATAAATCTCACCATACTAAATGTATGAAACCGATACTGTTCTGATGCGTCCCAAGTCACAACACAACACGTCAGACAAATGTAAATCTGGCTTAAGATAGATTGCCTTACAGCCTGTAATTTATACAGACGTTCACACCGGAACACATCAGTGGAGCCAATGCAGTTCGGAAAAGGCAAGAGGGTAGTACCAGTTGATATAATAAACTAACATTTATCAATATTTGTACAGAAAAATTGAGTAATAAGTATGAATTTAAAATTAGCTTGCCTGTATCAGTTAGAATGTAACGGTACTTATTCTATGCAAATAAATATTTATGAATTATCACCCAGCCCAGAAGGGTAACAAAGTGATCTACTATCCCAAAAAATACTCGGAAACGAATCTTTTTTTTTTTTAAATCTATTACGTTTATTTATTTTTATAAAATAAGGGTGAGAAACGAGCACACAGCCCATCTCATGGTAAGTGAATGCTATGACCCATACGTATTCTCAATTGCAGACCAAAATGCAGATTCCAGTAAAAAGGGTCTCCGGTTCTCTACACTCATCATACAAATATTTTCTGTAATATATTCTATAAATATAACTAAAAATTAAAAAAAAAACATTTTATAATATTACAGATTGCGGGTACCTGCAACAACGCTGTCGTCCATGACCTTACCACAACTAACGGAATACCTCAGATCATATTTAGCCGCTGACAATGACAG